GGACCATTAATAAATCTGTAGCAATACAGTGGAGCACAATGTCCAAGTAAAAAGGATCGCTGATGAGGTCAGCATATCTTAGCTACCAGGAGTTAGCTAGGAGCAGAAAAGAAAGGTAGAGGCTATGGACATCCGCCTTGCTGCTGGAACCACCATGGTTTCCAATGGCCTGATCCACCCAGAACACTGGCATTTCTTTCTATTAGGTACCAAGAGCCATCCCCACCAGGAGACCCCAGAAAGGGAGATGTGTCTATATGCTCCTCCTCCAAACAAGAATCAGCACTGCTGAGCTGCTATTGGGAAATAAGCCACCGCCTCCTCTACACCTTATGTGTGCCCTGACCCAAAACACAGCAACTCTGCAAGTAACCACACTCCAGACCTGGGTTTTATGTTCACATTGAACCCACCAACACCTCAGACGTTGGGAATCATTGTCACAGCAAGGTAGTTTGCACACCAAATCCCAGAGCTACACCTTCACTGTGTGTTCCCATGCTTCCAGCACCAGTTTAGCCACCACAGAGAGCTAGACTGGGCCCCAACTCCAGAGCAGCTCAAACTGTGTGGATACCAGTATTCTCATTCTTAGCTCCCCAGCTATTTCACAGGAATCTGCACCTTGCCTTCTGTTACCAAGGTGGCAGCAGAGGTGCATGTGCCCTGGGCACGCCGTGGATCCCAGAACCATGATCCCTCCATACATTCCTGTGCTTCACATCTGAGCTCTGCAGCCACTCCATTGGCACCATTGATCAAATGCTCATGCCACTGAATGTAAGCAAGCTAACAAGCCACACCCAGTACCAAGAGGGATTTTATCAGCAAAAACTTCCCCACTGAGAGAAAAAGAAATCAGAAGGACAGTCATTGTCACTGTCCTTAACAGTCATTGTCACTGAAGACCCAAATAACCTTTGTCACAATTACGGACATTCACAGCATTGGCTGCTGAGGATTCTCACAATCTTTGTCATCACCAACCTCAGCTCCCAGAGCTATACAAAGTCGACAAAATTCTCAATCTCATGAGTGCCAAAACTGCAGCAGCCCACCCAGCAAGTACACTCACAACCCTGTAGGAGAAGGTCTTTCAACAGCTAAACTAGTCACAAGAGGCTATAAGATTTGCAGACATCAATGTAAAACCACAAGAAACATGAAAAACCAAAGATGCAACATGACCAAAATACCACAATAATTTCCTGAAGCTGATCTCAAATAAATGCAGATATAAAAACTGCCTCACAAAGAATTCAAAATATTTTTGGAGGATCAAACAAGTTAGAGAAGACAGTTACATGTGTCACTTAATGACAGGGATATGTTCTGAAAAATGTGTCATTAGGCAATTTGATCCTTTCAAACATCATATACTTACATAAACCTATATGGTATAGCCTCCTACACACCTAAGCTATATGATATAGTCTACTGTTCCTATGCTATAAAACCATACAGTATGTTACTATACTAAATATTGTAATCAATTCCAATACAATAGTAAATATTTGTGTATCTAAACAGAAAAAAAATTTTAAAAAGCACAAATATGGCATAAAAGGTTTTAAAACTGATATATCTGTATGGAGTACTTACCATGAAGGTAGTTCACAGAACTAAGAGTTACTCTGAGTGAATCAGAAAGTGAGTGCTAAGTGAATGTGAAGGCCTAGGACATTGCTGTGCACTACTGTAGACTTAATAAACACTGTACACTTGGGCTACACAAGAGTTTGAATAAATTTTCTTTATTCAATAATAAATTAACCTTAGTTTATTGTAACATTTTTATTTTATAAACTTTTTATTTTTTTTACTTTTTCAGTTTCTTGTAATAACACACCTTAACACACAAACACACTGTACAATTGTACCATTTATAGCACTAAAAGCCCACATTAAGTAAAAGATCCCAAATAAACAATCTAATGTTACACCACAAGGAATTAAGGAAAATAGAACAACTAAACTGAAAGTTTATAGAAGGAAGAAAATAATAAAGATCATAGAAGAAATTTAAAAATGGATACTAGAAAAATAGAAAAGATTTAAAAACAATAGAAAAGATCAACAAAACTAAGAGTTGGTATTTTGAAAGGACAGTATCAATGAAACTTAATGAAACTAACAAAGAGAAAAGACTCAAAATCAAGAATAAAAGAACCATCACTACTGATGTCATGAAGCTATAAAAGATCATGAGAGACTACTATGAATAATTATACACCAACAATTTCAATAACCCAGAAGAAATGAATAAATTCCTAGACCCATGCAACCTACCAAGGCTAACTCATGAAGAAGAGAAATATGAATAAACCAATAATGAGTAAGGAGATTAAATCACTAATATAAAGTCTTCTATTAAAGAAAAGTCAAGGCCTCATGGATATACTGCTAAATTCTACCCAATGTTATAAGAAGAATTAATGCTAACGCCCCTTAAATTAAAAAAAAAATAGAAGGGATTACTTCCAAACTTATTTTAGGAGGCTAGCATTACTGACACCAAAGCCAGACAAGGACACTACAAGAAAAGACAAATAAAAGGTCAGTACCTCTGATGATCAGGGAAAACCTCAACAAAATACTAAAAAAAAAATTCAACAGCACATTTAAAGAATAATTCACCATGATCAAGCGTGTTTTATCTCCTGGGTGCAAGGATGGGTCAACATAAACAAAGCAATAAATGTGATACATCACATTAACAGAATGGAGGACAAAAAACACATGATAATCTCAATAGATGCAGAAAAAACATCCATAAAAATTCAAAATCCCTTCAAAATAGAAACTTCCAACTAGTTAGGTATAGGAGGATTGTACCTCACTGCAAAAGCCATATACAACAGATAAACCATACCTAACATTATACTTGACAGTAGTAAGTAGAGAGCTTTTCTTCTAAGATAAGGAACAAGACAAAGATACTATTCTCACCACTTCCATTCTACAGAGCACTGTCAGCCTCAGACAGATAAACTATGAAAGAAAAAGAAACAAAAGCGGTTCTAATTGGATGGGGGAAGTAAAATTATCTTGGTCAGACAACATAAACTTATACAGGGAAAACTCTAAAGACTCCACCATAAAACTATTAGGAGTAATGATTAAATTTATAAAATTTTCAGTATAGAAAGTCAACACACAAACATGAGTAGTGTTCTTATACTCTAACAATGAACTGTCAGAAAAAGAAATCAAAAAATAATGTCATTTAAAATATCTACAAAAAATTAAATTCCTGGGAATAAATTTTAAAAAAGAGGAAAAAAAGTTCTATTATTAAAACTATAAAACATTAGTAAAAGAAGTTTAAGATAGCACAAATAAAAAGATATCTCATATTCCTGGATTGGAAGAATATTGTTAAAATGCTGATCAGCTATGAGCTTAATTCAATCCCTATCAAAATCCCAATAACATTTTTCACAGAAATAGAAAAAATCCAAAAATTCATATGGAACCATAAAAGACCCTGAATACCCAAAGCAATCTTGAGCAAGAAAAACAAAGCTGGAGGCATAGTACATCCTAATTTTAAAACATTATTTAGATACAGCAAACAAGACAGCATCGTACTGGGTATAAAAGCAGACACTCAGATCAATGGAATAAAATATACAATGATGTTGAAAAAACTACATATCCACAAGCAGAAGAATAAAATTATAACTTCATCTCACACTATGTACAAAAATCAACTCAAATTGGATTAAAGACATAAATGTAGGATCTGAACTGAAATTACCTGAAGAAAACATGGGAAACACTTCATTATGTTGATCTCAGCAAAGAGTTTTTTAGATATGACCCCAAAAGCAAGGTAATAAAAGAAAAATAAGTAAATGGTATTAAACAAAACTAAAAAGTTCTGCACAGCAAAGGAAACAATCAACAGTATGAAGAAATAGCCTACTGAATGAGAGAAAGCATTTGCAAACCACACATCTGATAAGCAGTTAAGATCCAATGTTTAGAAACAGTCCAAATAATTCAACAGTTAGAAAACAATCAACCCAAATAAAAGATAAGCACAGGATCTGAATAGACATTTCTCCAATGAAGACATCCAAATGGACAACAGGTATACGAACAAGTGTTCAACATCACTAATCGTCAGGGAAATGCAAATTAAAACCACAATGATATATCACTTCACACACATTAAAGTAACTATCATCAAAAAGATGGAAGACAAATGCTGGCAAAGATGCGAAGATAAAGGAACCCTTGTATGCTGTTGGTGGGAATGTAAATTAGTAAAGCCATAACTGAAAATACTACAGGGGTTCCTCAAAAAATTAAAAATAGAACTACAATATTATCCACAATTTTACTTCTGGATATACCTCCAAAGGATATGAAATCAGTATACAAAAGAGGTATTTGTACTCCCATGTTCACTGTAACATTACTCACAATAGCCAAGATATGGAGTCAAACTTAGTGTCCAGCCACAGATTAATAGATAAGGAAAATCAGCCTTAAAAAAAGAAGTTCTGTCATTTGTGATAATATGGATGAACTTGGAGAACATAATGCCAAATAAAGTAAGCCAGTTACAAAAAAAAAAAAATACTGCATTACCTTACTCATATGTGGAGTTTTCAAAAGTCAAGCTCATAGAAACAGAGTAAAATGTTGGTTATAAGAGGCTAGATGGTGGGGGGACTGAAGCAATGTTGGTCAAAGGACACAAATTTCAGCTGGACATGAGGAATGTTTAAGAGATCTACTGTACATCATGAGTACTGTTAATATATTGCACAATTGTAAGTTGCTAAGAGAAATTTTAAGTCTTAACACAAAAAAACCAACAAGGTAATGTACATGTTAAATAGCTTGATTTGGTTATTCCACAATGTATTCATATATCAAAACATCATGTGATACACGATAAATGTATATAATTTTTACTTGGCAATTAAAGATAAATCACAAATAAATAAATCTTAAAATATTTTAAGGTTATCTACAATTATACTTACTGTCAAGTTGATTATTTTGAAAAGATTTTTGTTTCTTTACTTCCACTTCCATTTTTGACTTTGTGTCTTGTTCAAGCGTAAGATTTTCTTCTGGTGCATCATAATGAGCTACACAAAGTAATAAATTTAATGCACTAAACATAAAAAACTATAGTGAAATTTCTAGATTTCAGAAATGTAGCAAGTATACAGTCATATTCTGTCTCATTTTTATACATGTAAAATATAAGTAAATCACTATAATTCTAGATATGACATGAAAACAGTGATAAGAATTTTGGTGAATCTGAGGTGAAGTAGTCTTATTATTTCATAAATATTTCTTGGCATCAAATATTTATATTAGCCTCTACTTGTTTTTGATTATTCATAATTTAGGTTAATATGTATTCATAGCAAAACAATGAAAATTCATATGTACAAGTTTAGTCATTACAACATACTTTTAATGACAAAATAGTCAAAAGCACTTAAATGTACAAGCATATGAGATTGGTTAAGTAAAAAGGTATATATTATAATTTATGGTATTATCAACTATAATCTTTAATACAACACAAAGAGTTATACAGACAGCTTTAAAAGTAATAAAAAGATTGTTGTAACCTGAGTTAGAGAGATTTGTAGAAGGTTATGTGAACTGAGGAAAAAATTAAAATAGAAGAAAGATATCAAGTATGCTATCCATTAGGAAATAAATGTAAAAAGATACTTGCTTTTAGAAATTGAAACACAGGAAAGATAAACCAGAAAACAAAGTTAGTGACCAAAATTTGCACAGACCCTACATGCAAAATTGCATCCAATGACTACTGTTAAATCTAAGCATGTTCCTAGACTGAGGATAGTCTACAATGCATGTTTTCATGTTTTATTCATTTTTCCATGTGTGATGAAAAAGTATGTAGAGTCTTCAGGATCACATTGCCCACCCATCCAAAAGCGATCATAGAAGAGATGTGAATAGTTCACCTTTACCTTAAATGAGTTACTCTTGTTACATTTAATTATGGACAGTGGCACTTATGAGGTGTGTTACTGCATACCTCCTCATTCAGAGTGTCCTTCCATGGCCACTTTGCCCAACAAGGATTAAAAAGTAGGTAGGCAGAAAGTGGTATATACATATGAGACCCTCTCCTTTCTTAGCTGGCTGCTATTTGGCCTCTGACTAATTTGGTCCAATTGTGGTGAGTTCCCTGCCACTGAAAAACTTTTTTTGACCACTCTTCTAGTCACCAGCAAAGTGCCCTGAAAGCCACCTGATAGTCTCTTACTTCAGCAATAAGGAGTAAGAACAACAGATGACAAATAAGATCATTTACCAAACTCAGACCTACGTTAATTTGTGCTACTCTCATTGGTTATATAGCTCAATTGAACTTGATGATGTGAAATGGCTAGCAGCACAATCCAGATCTTAACTGACAAATTTCCATGCAAGACAAAAGAACCTACTGCCAAGGTACCAATATTTCATTAAATTACGTCAGAGTGATGTAAAAATGTAACTGAGCACCCACTCCCAGACCATCTGGTTAAGTGTCTTCTCAAAGACATCTATGGCTCTAGTAGCTCAACAATAAAGTACCAAGGAAGAGATTGATGGGTTCTCCATTAGATGCTTATGATCATTTAATAGTCATAGGGGCACAACACAGAGCCCCACTACAGTCCACATAGTGAGGACTCCTATGACTAATAAAGTGCTATCCTTGATACCTAGAGTCGTGGAGCAAGATGGTCAAATAGAAGGCTACACCAATCATCCCTCTTGCAGAAACAACAAATTTTAAAATATCTACATATGAAAAAGCACCTTAATAGGAACCAAAAATCACCTGAACCCTCACAGTATCTGGTTTTAACTTCGTACTATTGAAAGAGGCACCGAGGAGGGGAAAAAAGACAGTCTTTAATTGCTAATGCCATCCCTCCTTCACTGCTCACCAGTGTTCACATGGTGCAGAGAGAAATTCTTTGTGATTTTTGAGATGAACAGTGCAACGATTGTGAGACTTTACATTGAACTCAGTGCCACCCTGTCATGGCAGAAACAAAAATCAATCTGAACTCAGATGATGCCCACCTATAGAGAGGGGTCAAAAGGGAACTGCATGTACCTGCTGTTGGAACTTGAGTTCTGGCAAGCCTCACCACTGTAGGCTAAAGTTCCCTGGAATGCTAAATAAACTTGAAAGGCAATCTAGGCCACAAGGACTGCAACTCCTAAGCAAGTTCTAGTGCTGAACTGGATACAGAACCAATGGACTTAGGGAGCATCTACTGAGACACCAGCCAGGACAGCTAAAAGAGTGCTGTGCCACCCCTCCTCCAACTCCAGTCAGTGCAACTCACAGCTCCAAGAAAGTCCTCTTTCTTATTCTTGAGGAGACGAGAGGAATGAATAAAGAGGACTTCATCTTGTATCTTGGATACCAGTTGAGCAATAGTAGGATAGAGCACTGGACAAAATTTTGAGGCCTCTGTTCCAGGCCCTAGCTCCTGGATGACATTTCTAGACACATCTTGGGCCAAAAGGGAACTTGCCACCTTAAAGGGAAGAACCTGGCAAGATCTAACACCTGCTGACTAAAGAGCCCTTGGGCCCTGAATAACCAGCAGCAAGATCTAGGTAGTATGCCACGGTCATTGGGTGAGACTCTGAGATGTGCTGGCTTCAGTTGAGACCCAGAACATTTCCAACTGTGGTGGCTATAGTAATAAACTCCCTCTGCTTGAGAAAAACAGACGAAAAAGTAAAGAGGACTTTGTCTTGCACCTTAGGTACTCACTCAGGCCCAGTGTAGTGAGTACCAAACAGGCACATACATGAGCACATGTCTTGAGAATAATTTATATTCCTTTGGGTATGCACCCAGTAATGCGATTGCTGGGCTGAATGCTATTTCTGTTTTTAGGTCTTTAAGGAATCACCATGCTGTCTTCCACAATGGTTGAACTAATTTACACTACCATCAACTCTGTATAAGTGATCTTTTTCCTGTGCAACTTTCCCAGCATTTGTTATCTTCGAGATTTTTAGTAATAGTCATTCTGACTGCTGTGAGATGGCATCTCATGGTTTCGATTTGTATTTATTTAATGATCCGTGATATTAAGCTTTTTAATATATGATTGTTGGCCACATGTATTTCTTCTTTGGAAAAGTGTCCATTCACGTCCTTTGCCTACTTTTTAATGGGGTTATTTGTTGTTGTTGTTTGTAAATGTGTTTAAGTTCCTTATAGATGATGGATATTAGACCTTAAACATAACTTTCATGTGCACCATGAAACAAAAATGTATAACTTGCTCCCTAAGTTCATTTGCTTTATTGTGGTGATCTAGAACTGAACCTGCAATATTTCCAAGATGTGACTGTAGGTCATATTTTAGGTCACAAGATAAGTCTTAACAAATTTTAGAAGGCTCAAATCATATCAGTTTTCTTTTCTTACCACACACAATGGTATAAAACTAGAAATCAATCACAAGAAAATTTTCTGAAAATTCAAAATGTGGGAAAATTTAGTAGCACACTCCTAATCAATGGGTTAATGAGAAAATAAAAAGGAAAATAAAAAATATCTCTTGACAAACTAAAATGAAAACACAATATAACAAAACATGCAACGCCACAAAAGCAGTCCTAACAGGAAACCTTACAGCAATGAATGTCTACATTTAAGAAAAAAATAAAGACCTCAAATCTAAAAATCTAACAGTACGTGTCATGGAACACTAGAAAACAAAGAGCAAACTAAGTTCACCATTAATAGGAGGAAGGAAATGATGAAGATGAGAGCAGAACTAAATGCAATAGAGACTAGAAAAACTCTAGAAGTAGTCAACAAAACTGAGTTTATTCTTTGATATGATAAACAAAATTGGCAAAACTTTAGCTATACAAAAAAGAAAACTCAAACACAATTATAAATGAGAGAAGAGGCATTACAACTGACCACATACAAATACAAAAAATCATAAGACTTCTATGAACAATTATACATCAAAAAATTGAATAATCTAGAAGAAATGAATAAATTCATAGAAACATGTAACCTACCAGTACTGCAGTATATGTCTTTCTGGGCCTCGATTATTTCACTTAGCATAATATCCTCCAGGCTCATCAATACTGTTGCAATTGACAGAATTAATTTAAAGCCACACAGTATTTCATTGTGTGTATATATACACCACATTTTTTTAAATTCATTTGTCAAAGGATACTGATATGGTTTGTCTGTATCCCCACCCAAAAATTATCTTGAATTATAGTTCCCATAATCCCCATTTGTCATGGGAGGGACCAAGTGGGAGGTAACTAAATCATGAGAGCAACAAAATATAAAGGGATTTTCCCCTTTTGCTCAGCACTTCTCTCTCCTGCCACCTTATGAAGGACATCTGTGCTTCTCCTTCCACCATAATTGTAAGTTTTCTCAGGCCGCCCCAGTAATGCAGAACTGTGAGTCAATTAACCTCTTTTCTTTATAAATTACCTAGTCTCAGGTATTTCTTCATAGCAGTTTGAGAATGGACTAATACAATAAATTAGTATCAGAGGAGTGAGGCAATGCCATAAAGATACCCAAAAGTGTAGAAGCAACTTCAGAACTGAGTAACAGGCAGAGGGTGGAGCAGTCTGGAGGGCTTAGAAGAAGATAGGAAGATGTGGGAAAGTTTGGAACTTCTGAAAACCTGTTAAATGGCTTTGGTCAAAATGCTGACAGCGATATTGACAATGAAGTCCAGGCTGAGGTGGTCTCAGATGGAGATGAAGGAATTGTTGGGAACTGGAATAAAGGTGACTCTTGCTATGCTTTAGCAAAGAGACTGGCAGCATTTTGCCTCTGCCCTAAAGATCTGTGAAATTTTGAATTTGAGAGAGATGATTTACGGTATCTGGCAGAAGAAATTTCTAAGCAGCAAAGTGTTCAAGAGGAAGTAGAACATAAAAGTTTGAAAAATTTGCAGTTCAAAGATGCAATACAAAAGAAAAACCCATTTTCTGGGGAGAAATTCAAGCCTGCTGCATCAATTTGCATAAGTAATAAGGAGCCAGTGTTAATTACCAAGACAATGGAAAAAATTTTTCCAAG